ACTGGTCTTGAACTCCTGACCTTGTGATCTGCCCACCTCGGCCTCCCAAAATGCTGGGATTACAGGTGTGTGAGCCACCAAGCCTGGCTGAAGCCATAATTAATTTGATCAGGCGCAGTGGCTCACACCTATAATCCCAGCACTTTAGGAGGCCTAGGAAGGAGGATCATTTGAGCCCAGGAGTTTGAGACCAGCCTGGGCAACATGGTGAGACTCTTGTCTCTACAAAAATTTTAAAAATTAGCTGGGCATGGTGGTGTGTACCTGTGGTCCCAGCTACTCAGGAGGCTTAGGTGAGAGGATCACTTGAGCCTGGGAGGTTGACACTGCAGTGATCCATGATTGCACCACTACACTCTAGCCTGGGCAACAGAGTGAGACCCTCTCTAACCCCTTCCTTAAATATAGATATCTATGGTGAATGTTAGGAGCAAAAAAAGACATCAGACATTATTATAAGCTTGGAGCTTATTAAAACTTGGTAAAAACAAAAACAAAAACATTTCTCCCTGGGTAAGGTATGGATAGAACCTTACTCTACCTCAAATTACCATATTGGGTGCCACTTACAAATAACGTCTCTAAAGGTTCTGCAATCCAGTGATGTTTCTCATGTTTTACCTATCTCTAAGATTCCCAGAGGACCACAGTTATTAAGGAGAGGAGTCTTCAAAATTAAACAGGCACAGCGTGTAGCAAAATGTACAGATCTATTATAAAATCTCACTACTTCCAATTAATTGGGGGAAAGGTGATGTGAATTCATACAACTCAATTACTCTACAGATGTAAAGGATTTCTGGCCTTTACTAAGAAAAAAAGAGAAAAGTATTCCAGAATCAATTTTAATGAACACATTTGATTTATTTGTAATTGGCATATTGTTTTAAATATTTTAAGCTTCTGAATTACCTGAAGGAAATATGCATTTTAGAATGCTTAATCAAGCCATCTGCAATTTAGTTTGCATTCATAATGGTCCCATGCCACAGGACCATTATTCACAGAAGGAGAGGAGTCAATGTCCACTGATTTCTAGGAGTTCGTAAATTTTGAATTGGTGGGATCTGAATCACACTAATTGCACTTGAGAATCTAATAGGTTTGAGTTGCAAAGACTTATGCTCTGATATTATTCAGACAGTAAAATCTTAGTTGAGAGAGGGTCTCTTCCGCAGTTTTGGGTAGATGACAACCTCTTGGAAAATGGGTGGGACCATGGTCCTCAGTCCACTGATTGCCTGATAGAATGTTTGCACTTTAGGATCTCCATTTTCTCTGTGCTCCTGAGGCAGCACACCCGATATGCTTTTGTAGAGATGAATTCCAAGGAAAACACGACCTAGACTTTATTTCAAATTACGCTCAAGATCAATCCATCTCACTGATGCCCAAAAATGCCATGTTCATAATCTGCTGTTGTGATATACAACTAGGAAAAGGTAAATGTCCTGTCAACCACAATCTCTCTTTATTATTTTTAAAGAGGGCTCATTTCCATTATCAGAAGCAGATAAGGAATGCCAGCACCCATTTGTCATTCAAAACCAAGCACTTACTTAGCTGGGAAAGAATTAAAGCCATTAGGTGATGAATTTGTTTTTTTTTAAATAATGGTAATAAAGTCACAATTCAAGGTCAACAAAAATTCAAATGTAGTTCCATTGGGTAGCTAATATTTTGGATAGAATGGGAAGACCATTTCCCAACATTACCTTTGGTTTTCTAATACTTATTTTTTGCAAAAATGGAGACAAGAAACAGAAACCTAACATTTTCTCTCACCTCAAAGAGTAATCAGTTTTTATATCACCAACCTAGAGATTTTCGTGTCAATTGAAGGGAGTCTTTTCCTACCCCAGTTTTTATGTGACTAATCCTATCTCACCTATGTATAAAAGTCTGTGACATGTGAAGAATAGATGATGTGGCCAGGCACACCGGCTCATGCCTGTAATCCCAGCACTTTGGGAGGCCAAGATGGGCGGAACACCTGAGGTCAGGAGTTCAAGATCAGCCCGACCAACATGGTGAAACCCTGTCTCTACTAAAAATACAAAAATTAGCGGGTCATGGTGGTATGCACCGAAATCCCAGCTACTTGGGGGGTTGAGGCAGCAGAATTGTTTGAACCCAGGAGGCGGAGGTTGCAGTGAGCCAAGATTGTGCCACTGCACTCCAGCCTGGGAGACAGAGTGAGACTCCGTCTCAAAAAAAAAAAAAAGAAAGAAAGAAAAGAAAAGAAAAATAGATGACGTAATGAGCAAGTGAGCTCGGGCAGCTGATTGCTGCCAGCAATTCATTCAGGGTTTATTCTGCTCACAGGTCTCTGCGTAGGAAATGCTAAAAGTGCTACTCTCCAGTTAGGGTTTCCAGACCGATAGATGTGAAGATTCCTTCTGCTTGAGTATCCTCAGGCACCTCAAAATCAAAATATGTCCCAAATCAAACTCATTTGACCCATTTACCAAAAATGCTTTTCCCTGTCTCTTCTATCCCTAAATGATCCTGCCATTTATTCCTTAGGTTGAGCCATAAGAAATTGCCTTTTTTGTAGGTCATTAATGGTTGAATATTGGCAATTTCAAAAGGATCAACCTTAACAGTTGTTCAGGTTAAAAAAAAAAAAAAACCTGCTAAAATCCTTTTCATATCACTTCCCCTTCAACTCTTACAACAAGCCAATCAGGAAGGTTGGTAAATTCTGTTTCAGGCAGGTCCATTATCCATCTCTAAGGCAAGCATCAAAGCCCAAGCCAAGTTAGTGAACTGGCTTCACCAACCCTGTCCACGCTGCCATAAACCAGAGTGTCTTCTTTAAAACGCAAGTTAGAACATGCCACTTGCTGCAAAAAATCATCCAATGGCTTCCCACTGCCCTTAAGAAAAAGACTGGGCTGGGTGCTGTGGCTCACATCTGTAATTCCAGCACTGTGGGAGGTCAAGGTGGGAGGACCGCTTGAGCCCAGGACTATGTGACCACGCTGGCAACATAGCAAGACATCATCTCTACAAAAAATAAAAAAAATTAGCTAGGCATGGTGGCTTACACTTGTAGTCCCAGCTACTTGTGAGGCTCAGGTGGGAGGATCACTTGAGCCCGGGAGTTGGAGGCTGCAGTGAGCCATGAATGCACCACTGCACTCCAACAGGGGCAACAGAGAGTGACCTTATCTCTAAAAAAAAAAAAAGACAAAGATGGCTTGCTGATCTGCAAGCTCCAGTCTCTACTGACTGCTTCACTCTCATCTCACTTTCTGTTTTTTGGTTACTATGACGTTCTTTTATTTTCTTAAACATGGCCCTTCCCACCTTAGGGCCTTTGTATATACTGTTCCATCTGCCTGGAATCCTCTTTTCTCTCATGACCCCCAAGGCCCTTGTCACCCAGTAACCCTTACTTCTCCTTTATTCATGTCTCTGCATAAATGCCACTGCTGGGCAGGCATGGTTAGGAGGCCAAGGCAAGAGGATCACTTAAGCACAGGAGTTCAAGATCAGCCTGAGCAATATAGCAAGACCCCATCTCTACAAAAAAAGATATGCCACTGCCTCAGGAGAACCTTCTATGATCTCTCTCAGACCAGGATGGAACCCCATGTTACATACATCCATGAGACTATCTCCTCTTAGTACTGGTCATACTTCTAATTGTTTGTTCAAGGCCCTACTAGACTCAAGCTCCAAGGAAACAGGATCATGGCTGTCTTATTACCATGTCACCATCACTGAGCCAGGGCCCAGCACCCTAATGGGCACTCAACAAATATCTATGGAAGGCACGAATCCCTCACAAAATTTAGAGCAGCAACTGACAGTTCAAAGTTGCCATCCCTGCATAATATTATTCTCACTTTTGATATATCTTTTTTCTACTTAATATTTTATTTTTATTATTTGATTTTTAAAATTGTATTTATTTATTTACTTTCTTGAGACAGGGTCTCACTCTGTCACGTAGGCTGGAGTGTGATGGTGCGATCATGGCTCACTGCAGCCTCAACCTCTTTGAGCCAGAATGACCTCCCACTCACAGCCTCCACAGCTACGCACTCCACACCAGGACTCGCCGCACCATCCCGCAAGCTAATTTTTTTTTTTTTCCTGAGAGAGTTTCACTCTTGTTTGCCCAGCCGGAGTGCAGTGCAAATGAGCTACCACTGTACCCTGCTCCCGGTTCAAGCGCATCTCTGCCTTCAGCTCTGATAGCGGATACACAGGCACAACACCTACCACACCCTGCAATTGTATTTTAGTAGAGACAGGTTCACCAATGTTGGCCCCAGCAGTCTGAAAACCCCTACCCGTCACGTGATCACAGCCCTCCCCCCGCAAAGCGCTGGATTATAAACGTGAAACCACCGCATCACGCCCCCCGCTAATTTTGATTTGTAGAGATGGATTCGCCATGTGCCAAGGCCAGTCTCAAAGCCTCCTGTTGCAAGCCATCACCTGCCTGGCCCTCCCAAAGACTGAATTAAAGTGGAGTCACCTTCCGGCCCAAATTCTAAAAAGGAAACCAAAAGCATGCAATTAAAAATAAATAAACAAAGACCCCTGAACCAAAATTCTGGGCCCTTTTGGAATGATAGCCTAGCACGGCCATAACTAGTAGTTGTTATTGTTATAAGAGAAATAACAATAATCAAAGCTAATATTTATTGAGGGCCAGCTATGTGCCAAGCCTACGGATAAAACTGAAGTTAGTGAAGTTGGGGGATTTAACAAGGTTCCCAGGGGCCAGTAAATGATGGAGCCATAGTCACAAAGACCAATGATCCAAGACAGGATATGAATGCTCACAGTCCCTCAGTCTTTCAGTATGACAACCTCCAGAACACAGGGATCCTCTCTACATGCTGCAGACTTAGAGCATCAGCTCCAGAATCCAAGAGACACACGTTTTCAGCGGTTAAGTTAAATGTGTCTACACACATCTCAGCTAATTTTACCTTATTTCCAAGAGCAAGTTACACCTTATTAAAAACAGGTGTTCCTACCGGAAGAAAGAGTCTCTGGGCAGCACAGGGTTTGAACAATTTCTTCCACTCCTGAGGGTTTCCAACAGAAAATGTGATGGGGTAGATTCTGTGCTCAAACTTCTTTGTATATGAGTCAGGCCACTGGCGCAACTGAAAAACATGGAAAGCAAGGGAAGGGTGATTAGGTCCCGGGAAATACGGAAAACACCTGGGAAGCTTCTGGATGGTCAAATGGAAATTATTCAGGCAACTTACACAGAAAGTCTAACTTCATCACCACTACGAATGTTCACTAAATGAAAGAGTATTTACTCCTACTAAAATTGCTAAGATTTTTTGAAATAACATTCAGAGTTGGCAACAGTGTTGAGACACTGCAGAGGTGAGTATAGATGTGAACAAACTTCCAAAAGGGCAACTTGGAAACTGGTAACAACACCCCAAAAGACGGAGGTACAAGGACATTCACCACAACCTAGTTTGTAATAACAAAACTTATGAACTTAGCAGCTTGGAAGGAGGAAAAAATCCCAACAAACTTGGGAACAATCAAAATGTTCAATGATAAGGAATTGGGACAATTAAGTATGATAGAACTACATAATAAAGTACAGGTAGAGGGACCAGAGGTGGTAGTTCATGCCTGTAATCCCAGCACTTTGGGAGGCTGAGGCAGGTGGATCTCTTCAGGCCAGAAGTTCAAGACAAGCCTGGCCAACACAGCAAAACCCCATCCCTGCTAAAAAACACAAAAATCAGCTGGGCGCAGTGGCACATGCCTGTAGTCCCAGCTACTAGGGAGGCTGACACACGCGAATTGCTTGAACCAGGGAGGCAGAGGTTGCAGTGAGATCCTGCCACTGCACTCCAGCCTGGGTGACAGAGCGAGACTGTGTCTCAAAAAAATAAAATTAAATTAAATTAAAAAATAAACATAGAATAATGTCCAGTTAGAATAAAGTAGATGTCTTTTGTGTTATTTGTGGCAGGCTGGATTTGGCTCTTGTACTCCCATAGTTTGCTGACCTCAGTTCTATATCTTTGTCACTAATGACTGCATTGTATTCTGTTATGTAGATAGGTACTGACATGGAAAATGGTTATAACATATAGTTCGGTTTTGGAAAAAGCAAAGTGCAAAAAAATTATAATATGGTTCTTTTTTTTTTAAAATTTCTTCACTACTCTCTGAATGAATGGTTCTGTCTTATAGGAAAAAATATATGCATGAGGCCGGGCGTAGTGGCTCACACCTGTAATCCCAGCACTTTGGGAGGCCCAGGCGGGTGGATCACTTGAGGTCAGGAGTTTGAGACCAGACTGGCCAACATGGCAAAATCCCATCTCTACTAAAAATACAAAAATTAGCTGGCGTGGTGGTGGGCGCCTGTAATCCCAGCTACTTCAGGAGGCTGAGGCAGGAGAATCACTTGAACCTGGGAGGCAGAGGTGGAGGTTGCAGTGTGTTGAGATCGTGCCACTGCACTCCAGTCTGAGGGTCAAAGCGAGACTCTAAAATATATATATATACACACACATACACATAGACACACACATATGCATGTACATTTTATATGTAGAGAAAAATCTAGATGGATATGCACTGAATTATTAAAAGTGGGCACCTCTATAGCTGGTGATGGTGGTTTCGTTTCCTCGGGCTACATTTCCATATTCTTTAGAACTTTTATAATAAGTATATATTACTTTCTTTGCATATATTAATTTTATAACAAAATTTTAAAAATACACTTTTAGATTTTAGAGCAGTTTAATATCTACAGAAAGTCAGCCAGGTGTTGGTGGCTCACGCCTGTAATCCTAACATTTTGGTAGGCTAAGGCAGGAAGATTGCTTAAGCCCAGGAATTTGAGACCAGCCAGGGCAATATAGCAAGACCTGCCTCTAAAAAAATTAAAAACAAGGCCAGGAGCGGTGGCTGATGCCTATAATCCTGTGACTTCGGGAAGCCAAGGCGGGTGGATCACTTGAGGTCAGGAGTTCGAGACCAGCGTGGCCAACATGGTGAAACCCCATCTCTACTAAAAATGCAAAAATTAGCCAGAAGTGGTGGCATGCCTGTAGTCCACGCTACTCAGGAGGCTGAGGCAGGAGAATCACATCAACACGGAAGGCAGAGGCTGCAGTGAGCCAAGACGGGACCACTGCACTCCAGCCTGGGTGACAGAAAAAAAAAATTTTAAAAACAAGAACAACAATGAAAACAAACAACAAAAAAGAAAAATTGAGCAGAAATCAGTTTCCAGATAGCCTCTCTCTTCCCCCTGTCCTACACTTTCCCCTATTATTTACATGTTGCATTCATGTGGTATATTTGTTACAACTGATAAGTCAATATCAATATGCTATTACTAACTAAAGTCCACAGTTTACATTAGTGTTAATTCTTTCTGTTGTACACTCTTTCTATGGATTTTGGCAAATGCACATCATATATCTATCATTACAGTATCATACAGAATAGTGTCACTACCCTAAAAATCCTCTCTGCTCCAACTTTTCAACATTCCTGCCCTCTCTCACCTGAATTTCTTCTTCTTCTTCTTCTTTTTTTTTTTTTTGGAAACAGAGTCTCACTCTGTTGCCCAGACTGGAGTGCAATGGTGCAATCTCAGCTCACTGCAACCTCTGCGTCCCAAGTTCCAGCAATTCTCCTGCTTCAGCCTCCTGAGTAGCTGGGATTACAGGTGACTGCCACTACGACCCAGCTACTTTTTGTATTTTTAGTAGAGACAGGGTTTTACTATGTTGGTCAGGTTGGTCTCGAACTCCCGACCTCAGATGATCCACACGCCTTGGCCTCCCAAAGTGCTGGCATTACAGGTGTGAGCCACCGTGCCTGGCCAAATACTGATCTTTTTACAGGCTCTTCATGTTAACTTTTCCAGAATGTGATACAGTTAGAATCACATAGTACATTGCCTTTTCAGACTGGCTTCTTTCATTTAGCAATATGCATTTAGGTCTCCTACATGTCTTTTTGTGGCTTGATAGCTCATTTTTTAATTTATCATTTAATAATACTGTATGCTCAAAAAAATTAGCTGAGCGTGGGGGCGGGTGCCTGTAGTCCCAGCTGCTTGGGAGGCTGAGGCAGGAGAATGGCATGAACCCGGGAGGTGGAACTTGCAGTAAGCAGAGATCACGCCACTGCACTCCAGCCTGGGCGACAGAGTGAGACTCCATCTCAAAAAAAAAATTAAAAAAAAAATGATAATACTGTATGCTATGGTATGAATCTATCACAGTTTGTTTATCCATTTACCTACTGAAGGATATCTTGGTTGCTTCCAGTTTTGGGAAATTGTGAATATAGCTGCTACAAACATCTGTGTACAGGTTTTTGTGTGGACATAAGTTTTCAACTCATTTGGGTAAATACTTAACGAGGTCAATTCCTGGATTGTATGGTAAGCCTATATTCAGCTTTCTAAGAAACTGCCAAACCATCTTCCAAAGTGGCTGCATGATTTTGCATTCTTATCAGCAATGAATGAGAGTTCCTGTTGCTCCACATCCTCACCAGCATTTGGTGTTGTCACGGTTCTAGATTTTAGCCATTCAAATAGGTGTGTAGTGGTGTCTCATTATTACCTTAAGTTACAAATGCTCAAATCACATATGACACTGAACATCTTTTCATATACTTTTTTGCCCTCTGTGTATCTTAATTTTTTTTTTTTTTTTTTGAGACAGAGCCTTGCTTTGTTGCCCAAGCTGGAGTGCAGTGGCATGATCTCAGCTCACTGCACTCTCTGCCTCCCGGTTTCAAGGAATTCTCATGCCTTGGCCTCCCGAGTAGCTGGGATTACAGGCATGCACCACTATGCCCAGCTAATTTTTTTGTATTTTCGGTAGAGATGGGGGTTTCGCCATGTTTCCCAGACTGGTCTCAAACTCCTGAGCTCAGGCAATCTGCCCACCTCATCCTCCCAAAGTGCTAGGATTACACGCATGAGCCACCGTGGCTGGCCCTTCTTAATTTTGAGTTAATGCCTTCCCATTGTTACAACAATTCTAGGAATTATTCCTAAGGAAAAATTTCAAAAATGGACACTTATTTATTACAAGGTTGTTTGTTTTAGTGTTGTTTGTAACAATGATAAATTAGAAACAATCTAAAGAAGCGATTGGTTAAATAAGCTCCAGGGTCTGTCTATATAACAGAATACAATGTAGTCATTAGTGACAATATCACAGAACTGGGGTCAGCAAATTATGGTAGTACCAGAGCCAAACCTAGCCTGCCACAAAGAGTACACAACCCATGCCAAGAATGGTTTGGCATTCTTAAATAGTTTTAAAAAATCAAAACAAGAATAATATTTTGTGACAATTATATGAAATTCAAATCTCAGTGCCCATAAGTAAAATGTTACCAGAACACAGCCACACCCATTTGTTTATATATTGTTTGTGGCTGCTTATGCTCTAAATAGCACATTGAGTAGTTGGGATAGAGACCATACAGCCTGCAAAGCCTAAAATAGTTACTATCTGCTGTTTTCCAGGAAACACTGGTCATCTCACTTTAGAGGAAACTCAGTAATATAAGCGTCAGTGATATAAAAGAGATCCCATTTCTGATGGTGATATGAAAAGAAAAGGAATGGAAATAAGTATTATATATATACACCAAAACTGTTCTCCCTGAGCATTAGTGTAATGGGTTTTTTTCCATTTATTATTTATGAATTTACTGGTTTTTACCATGTACATATATTGTTTATATAGCCACATAAACTTTTTTTTTTTTTTTTTTTTTGAGATGGGGCCTCACTCTGTCGCCCAGGCTGGAGTACAGTGGCATGATCAAGGCTCACTGCAGCCTTGACCTCCCTGGGCTCAGGTAATCCTCCCACCTCAGCCTCCCAAGTAGCTGGGACCACAGGTGCACTCCATCATGCCTGGCTAATTTTTCTATTTTTTATTGAGACAAGGTTTTGCCATGTTGCCCAGGCTGGGATATAAACATTTTTAAAAATACATCATTGGAAACACTTTAACATTCTGAATGAGGAAAGGAGTGACAGAAAAAGTATTTGACATTTGATATATGAAGGGCACTGACCAATTAGAACCCACACCAGGCATTACCTAGTATTTACCCAGTATAATCGCACAGACCC